GGGCTGAGTTGGCTAAATTACCTCTTTATTGAATTCATTGCCAAATGGCCTTCATTACATAGGATGCCGAACGGCTATAGCTCAACACTTGTACATCGTGAGTCTATTTGTAGTAGTACTTCAAGTGATCAGCGTTCCATGGATGGCCAAGGGTCTTGCCATCGGAGCTTCTAAGTGTGTAAGAGCCAGGGCGACTGATGCCAATGACTTCATACGGTCCATCCCAGTTTGGACTAAGTGTGCCTTCACTCGGGACTCTGTCGCAGAGTAATCTTTTCTTTAAGACCCAGTCTCCTATTTTGAAAGAACGAGGCTTGACCCTAGAGTCATAATAGTTGGAGATGCGCTGCTTGTAGGCGACATTCCTCAAGTGAGCTTGGTTTCTGTGTTCCTCGACTAAATCCAAGTTGAGGGTGAGTTGTTTGTCATTTTCACTTTGAATGTAGTTCTGGACTCGGAATGTTGCTTGCTCGAGCTCAACAGGGACAACCGCCTCTGTGCCAAAGGCAAGTGAGAATGGAGTTTCTCCTGTTGAAGTCCGATATGAAGTGCGATATGACCAAAGAACTTGGGGTACAAATTCTGGCCAACAGCCTTTAGCTTTGTCCAAGCTGGTTTTCAAAGTGCGCTTGATTATTTTGTTGATGGCCTCAACTTGTCCATTAGACTGGGGATGAGCTGGAGAGGCAAAGCATAAGTTGATGTTGAACTTAGAGCAGAACAACCTGAACTTCTTGTTGTCAAACTGTCGCCCATTGTCAGTGACTATCGCATTGGGAATGCCGAATCTACAAAGGATGTTCTTCCACACGAAGTCTTCTATCTTTGCCTCAGTAATGGTTGCCAAGGGTTCTACTTCGGCCCACTTTGTGAAGTAGTCCACTGCAACGACTGCGTAACAGACTTTGCCCTTCCCTGCCGGCATTGGGCCGATCAAATCAAGTCCCCACTGGGCGAAGGGCCAAGGGCTGATCATAGGAGTAAGAGGCTCTGGAGGGGAATGAGGAATAGTTGCATATCGTTGACATTTGTCACATGAGCGGGATACTTTGATGGCATCCTGGTGGAGTGTTGGCCAGTAATATCCTTGGCGAAAAGTCTTGTGTGCTAGGGACCGAGATCCAGCATGATCTCCACAGACTCCCTCATGTATTTCCCGAAGGACGATTTCCGCCTCGGCAGGCGTAAGACACCTTAAGTATGGCAAGCTAAAACCTCGCTTATTGTGGCGATACCCTTGACGCGGGTTTGACCCACTGCATTGACTGCCTGGGGGCGAGCGCTATTGTGGCGATACCCTTGGTTATCGGGATAGTGTCCCTTACTCTTTTTACTGAAAGGAGAGTGGTGAGGATGGAAATCCTTCCTCTTGCCTTGAAATTGATATGTCTGTTGATTCGGTGAAGCATTATGCAAGGCATGGGGAGGTGCCACTGCTGTTTGGAAAGTCGAGGTCTTCTCATTTAGGTGAGTCTGGCTTCCACCTCCCACTTGTTGATAAAGGATGGTTGTAGGGGGTTTCTCCTGATATGTATTTGCCTCGGCGGAGGCATGGTTATAAGCCTGCGCCATCACCTCAGAGTAAGTCTTCCAAGTATTGGCATTGATCATGTATTTAAAGAAACAATCACGTAGGCCTGCCGTGAAGGCTTTGAGGGCAGTCTTGTCGTCTGCCTCGGCACACCGGGAGTATTCATGGCTGAAGCGGCCAACATACATACGTAATGACTCGCCTGGCTTCTGGCAGATAGTGTACAAGTCATCTGCAGAGTGCAAGCGATCGGTTTGGAAAATGTGTTGGGAAACAAATAGTTTCCTCAATTCCTCAAATGAGTCTACCGTCTCAGGTGTAAGACGACAATACCAATTTAGAGCTCCACTAGAGAGGGTGGAGGGGAAGAGAAGACATCGCTCTTCGTCGGTGTGCATCCGGTATGCCATGGTGGATTCAAAGAGGTTAAGGTGCTCAATCGGGTCCTCTTTTCCAGTATAAAGTTGCAAGCCAAGCTTTTGCTTTGTCTTTGCTTGAAGGGGGGTGTTGAGGATCCTCCTTGTAAGAGGGCCAGGCCTGGGTTGGTTCCAGTCAGGTATTTCAGCCTGACGTTCAGCCTTCAACTTGTTTACTTCCTCAAGAAGTTGTAGGACAAGGGGGTCCTGAGCGGAGTTATGTGTCACTGGAGCTTTTCTTTCGTAAATCTCCATCTCCTCTTGGAATTAGGAAGGTTTGATCAAGGGCATGTGATTTTTCCCTGGACTCGCTGTACTGGCTTCCAGGGTATGTCTGTCGGAACACCTCTAAGTCCCCTGTACCCTCATGTCTCTCTAGGACTTGTTGCCCATTCCCCAAATTGGTGGCCGGCTTGGGCCGTGGCAGGGGACCGAGTCTCTCAGAAATCCTTGGGTCATTAATCTTTGAGCTTATATGGATGGAATTCTCTCGACGTTGCTTCAGGAAATCCCGACAATCGCGAAAGACGGCTTTCGATCCTTCTGCCCCTTCAGCAAATAGGTGTCTCCCTCCACTTCTCATGGTTCGGGTCGAAGCAACTGGGTTAAGAGAAGCCTCATGTTGATTATCAAGTCGAGGGGTAATCTGTTCCCTATCAGGGATATCTATGTCGAATGCATGTGACCCTCCATGTTGGAGGGCACCCAGTTGATGGTTGACTTCCACGGGGGCAACAAGCTCGCGTGTCTGAGCTTGCCTAGCTTCGTGGAGTGTCTCGAAGAGCTTCTCATATTGCTCCTGGAGGACCTCATTCCTCATTGCTATCTTGTTGTTCTGAGCTTCCAACTCATCGACTTTAGCTTGAAGAAGAACTCGTTTTCCTTCCTTCTTTCGTTGTTTCGCACTATGTGCAAGGGGGGTGTCATTCTGTGTGCTGTGGCTTCCTTCGCTTCCCATGTTGGAGAGGGATGCCTGATCAAAAGAAAGTGTACGAATGATAGAAACCAGCTTGACACAGCTGAAGAGAGTAGGAATAAGTGTCGTTTCCCACAGACGGCGCCAAATGTTGATGCACAAAATCAGCGAGGACTTTGGTACAACAGAAAGTGTCAGGTTTTTATGACCTTCGCTTGGTTGCTTCGGTCACTAGTGAGGATAAGTACGTAAATGAATAGAGACAGAGAAGCAAACACAGGATGTACGTGGTTCACCCAGATTGGCTACGTCCACGGAGTAGAGGAGTTCTTATTAGTAGTGAAGGGCTTACACAAGTACAAAGGATCAAGCTCTCAATTTAGTGAGTTCTTGTGAATGATTTAACACAAATGGCATTTGGCAATATTGTGGGGGAATGACCCCTATTTATAGAAAAACTTGTAGCTTTGTCACATTGACATGTGTCATGTTATGATTGGTTCTTGATGTTGACACGTGCTGCGCTCTGATTGGCTTCTAATCTTGACACGTGTCGAGTAGTGATTGGCCTCCTGGTCGGAGGGGAACTCTTCTGGGTCCTTGACAGTATAGCGTTGGCCGGTGCTCGGTAGTTTCGGGATTGGTCAAGTATGGTACAAACAGGCTCCTCAAGGATTGAGGAGAAACTCATTCTTAAAATATCTCGTGACCTATTCACATAATTTTGTGCTTATAGTTGTAATTTCCTAAGAGTTGACTAAACAGTCTTAGTTTTAAGAGTAAATTGTAGCAATGGTTTCTCAACTTTAATCAAATTGGAGCATTGGTCCCTCAATTAAAAATCAATTACCATTGGTTCCTCAACTCATGAAAATGCGTAGCTATGGTCATTTCGTCAACTTCGTTAGAATTTTGTCAAAATAAATTGTGTTGGAATGACCATTGCGACAATTGGGGTCCCTCAACTCATCAAAACGTGTAGCTATGATCATTTTAATCAACTTCGTCAGAATTTTGTCAAAATGAGTTATGTTGGAATGACCATTACTACAATTGGGTTAAAGTTGAGGGACCATTGCTCCAATTGAGTCAAAGTTGAGAGACCATTGCTCCAATTGAGTCAAAGTTGAGAGAACAATGGTAATAGATTTTTAGTTGAGGAACAATTGCTCCAATTGAGTTAAAGTTAAGGGACCATTGCTACAATTTACTCTAGTTTTAATTGGTATTTTATAGAGATAATCTTTACCTAATAATTTATAATATGAACTGTTTTGAGTATAAGTACGAAATTATGTGAGTAGGCCACGAAGTGTTTTGAGGAGGAACTCCTCCTTAACTTTTTAAAGAGCCAAGCTCTTCTCAATTTTAAATAAATTAGATTGTTTTTTGTATGAATAGACCACTATACCCTTAAGTTTGACGGAAAAGAAGACAAATTTGGCGGAAGGATCATTCATGCAATGTATAAGTTAAGTTAGAGAATGAGAGAAACGAATATGAAGAGTTCAAAGACAAAAACTAAACATGAGGTAACATTTTGAAAACTTTGCTGATAAATGAAATTACGAAGAAGTGCAAGTGGAGAACGTAAGTCCGTCATTGATATTATTGTTGTGCAACGAGTGACTCCGTGGAAGTTGAAAGTCATCATTGAAAACATTCACATCTTGGCACAATGAAAGCCTGAAAAACTTATTAGCATGAGAATTGACGTTTAAATGGTAGGTGACAGAGAGAATCCCCTTACTCCTTAGCATTTCTCATGTTTAAATACAATGTATAAATTGCAGTTGAACACAAATTTGAGAATACAACATGAAAATTACAAAATGATTTATTTTTTTTTTTTTTTGAAACATACAAAATGAATTTTTTTAGCAAACACTGATTAGCGCCTTTCAGCGGATCAAACCCCATACAAAATTAAATAAACAACTGTAATAATAACGGTGCTAAATAATACAGTGACAACCAATCCCACACGTCCCACAATAACGTACGAACCACGCCCAATCAAACCGCGGCCAGCCCAAGCCCATCCTCGCCAAAACCCGTGGCCCCACCAAACCGCCTCGCCTCCAATCCCCTTCTCCCTCCTTCTTAAACCAGACGCTCACACTCGCCGAAGACCCCGCGTGGAAACCCTGGAGAAATCATAAAAACAAGATATCGTTGTTTTTCGCAAATCCCAGCTTTTACAATATTGGCATATTTGCTTTTGTTCCCACACTCTGCTAGGGTTTTCAGAGTCGCCGCGCTTCTGCTCTCCTCCTCCGTCTTCTTCTTCCGTCAACTCGGTCTTCGACTCGGATTGATCACTTGATCGCTCTCTCTCACCGAGTCCACCCACCAACTCGGAGTAAGTTCGAATTTCGATCCTCCATTTTTGTGTACATTTAGTGGCACTTCTGCGTTTTCCGATTCCAGTTTTCTCGCTGTGATCTGAAATCTTTGATCCGAGATTTGGATTAGTTGTTTGCTTATTCTGTTAATTCTTTGTATTAGAATCAATCAGTAATTTTGTAACTTTTTTGTTATTGAAATTCAAATGTTGTTTGGGGAAAAGTGGAGGAGTCCATAATTTTGAATATCCGATTGTTTTTAGGGTTTTGAAAGTTATCCGTGCTCAGTGTGCACTGTATGATGCTATTACTTTTTCGTTTCCGCTCAGTTGGGAAGCTTTTTCGGAATAGTTAACAAAGAGAAATGTTATGCTTGATAAGTTTTTGGTTGTGTTTTCGTTTCGGCTAGCGAAACTAGGTTTTTATGAGGTTTAGTGAAGGGGGTTAGTAAGTTTGAATTTCGATCCTCTCTTTTGTGTAATGTTTATTTGCATTTTTGTGTTTTCTGATTAGTGATTACAGTTTTCTCGCTCAGATATGAAATCTTTGATCCGAGATTTGCAATTGTTTTCTGCTTGTTCTTTTAATTTTGATCTTAGAATTAGGCTGTTTGTGTCTGATCAGTTCAAATTATGTACACTGTAGACTGCTTTACTAGTTTCGTGTTGCTAAGTTGGGAAGCGTTTTGGGAATAGATAACAAGGAGAATTATATGCTTGATAAGTTGCTAGTTTCGGTTATCAAAACTAGGGTTTTATGTGGATTAGTAAAGGAGGTTTTTTTCTTCTAATTGTCGTGAGTGATTTTTTTTCCTAATTTTGTTGTAATATGGAATGCGTTCAAATTTTTACTTGGGTGTTGTGAGTAGGGGTGATTAATGGATGCATAGGATTATTGTCTGTCACTCGGTAATAGTTCTGATAAATAAGCTGGGGATACTCTGTGATATATTTTGGATTATCAGGATTACTTTCTATCACTGAGTTGTGTGCCGAATGTCCTGATACCCTCTCTCTTAAAGCTCTGTTCCTCTGAGTTGTCCTGATACCTCTATGCGTTTGATATTTGTACTAATTGTATGATTTGAACTGCTAGTTGAATCATAGGCAGGATGATTTGTTGGTTGATTCAAGGTTTATTTCATTTGCCTGAAATGCCTTTTCTTCGTTGGATAACAAAAATGGTTTATGTAAAGAGTTCCATAATGTTCAGTGCTACTTGGTTAGGGCATAGCAGCATATGCCTTCTCCCTAAACGTGATTTATAAGATATATTTATAGAACTTAACAAAGTTTAGTTCTACGTGGTGCATATATGATTACAATTTGTTTTGGTGTCATTAATAATTTGATTGGATTATTGATTACAGATTCAAATGGCGATGGAAGTTACCCAAATACTTTTAAATGCACAAGCAGTTGATGGGAATGTACGCAAGCATGCAGAAGATAGCCTCAGACAGTTTCAAGAACAAAATCTTCCAAGTTTCTTGCTCTCTCTTGCTGGAGAATTGGCCAATGATGAGAAGCCTGTTGAGAGTCGTAAACTAGCGGGCTTGATCCTCAAGAATGCTTTGGATGCCAAAGAACAACATAGGAAGTTTGAGCTCGGACAAAGATGGTTGTCCTTAGACCCATCTGTGAAGGCCCAGATCAGAGCTTGTTTGTTAAAGACCCTTTCTTCTCCTGCCCATGATGCTCGGTCAACTGCATCTCAAGTTGTTGCAAAGCTTGCCGGGATTGAGTTGCCACTCAAACAGTGGCCTGAACTGATAGAAGCTCTATTGTCAAATAATAATCAACTTCCAGCTCATACCAGACAGGCAACTCTTGAAACTCTTGGGTACATATGCGAGGAAGTATCCCCAGATGTTATAGAGCAAGAGCAAGTGAATAAAATGCTTACTGCTGTAGTTCAGGGCATGAACTCTACCGAGACTAACAATGATGTCAGGCTTGCTGCCACTAGAGCTTTGCATAACGCTTTGGGTTTTGCTCAGGCAAATTTCTCCAATGATATGGAGCGTGACTACATAGTAAGAGTTGTATGTGAGGCTACTCTTTCCCCTGAAGTGAAGATTCGACAGGCAGCCTTCGAGTGTTTGGTTTCTATATCTTCAACCTATTATGAGAAGTTGGCTCCGTACATCCAAGATATATTTAGCATCACTGCTAAGGCTGTGAAGGAAGATGAGGAACCTGTTGCACTTCAAGCCATTGAGTTTTGGAGTTCAATCTGCGACGAGGAGATTGACATATTAGAAGAATATGGGGGGGATTTTACTGGGGATTCTTCTATTCCATGCTTTTACTTTATCAAGCAAGCACTTCCTGCCCTAATTCCTTTATTATTGGAGACTCTTCTTAAGCAAGAAGAGGATCAGGATCAGGATGAAGTGGCCTGGAATGTTGCAATGGCTGGTGGAACTTGCTTGGGCTTGGTAGCACGGACAGTTGGAGATGATGTTGTTCCACTTGTAATGCCATTTATTGAGGAGAATATTACAAAGCCAGATTGGAGGCAGAGGGAGGCAGCCACTTACGCATTTGGTTCAATTTTGGAAGGTCCATCCCCTGACAAGCTCATGCCTCTTGTCAATGTTGCTCTGAGTTTCATGCTAAATGCTTTGACGAATGATCCAAATAACCATGTGAAGGACACTACTGGTTGGACTCTTGGAAGAATTTTTGAATTTCTTCATGGGTCAACTTTGGAGACACCCATAATAACCCAAGCGAATTGCCAACAGATTATCACAGTTCTTCTTCAGAGCATGAAGGATGTTCCAAATGTGGCTGAGAAAGCTTGTGGTGCACTCTATTTTCTGGCCCAGGGTTTTGAGGATGCAGAATCTTCCTCCTCCCCTCTGACTTCCTTTTTCCAGGAGATAGCCCAGGCCCTTCTGGATGTTACTCACCGAGAAGATGCTGGCGAATCCCGCTTGCGAACTGCAGCTTATGAGGCTCTGAATGAAGTTGTAAGATGTTCCACTGATGAGACTGCTCCATTGGTGATGCAATTAGTTCCTGTCATAATGATGGAACTCCACCAGACTCTTGAGGCGCAAAAGCTTTCAGCTGATGAGAGGGAGAAGCAGAATGAATTACAAGGCCTTCTTTGCGGTTGCTTGCAGGTCATCATACAGAAGCTAGGGTCATCTGAACCAACAAAATATGTCTTCATGCAGTATGCTGACCAGTTGATGGGTCTGTTCTTGAGAGTATTTGCCAGTAAAAGTGCCACAGCTCATGAGGAGGCCATGCTTGCCATTGGAGCTCTTGTCTACTCAACAGGCTCTGATTTTGCCAAGTACATGACCGAGTTTTATAAATATTTGGAAATGGGTCTCCAGAATTTTGAGGACTATCAGGTTTGCGCCATCACCGTTGGTGTGGTGGGGGATGTATGCAGGGCTTTGGAGGATAAAGTATTACCTTATTGTGATGGGATAATGACCCAGCTCCTCAAGGATTTGTCCAGCAACCAGTTGCACCGATCAGTGAAACCTCCCATATTTTCATGCTTTGGTGACCTAGCTTTGGCAATTGGGGAGAATTTTGAGAAGTATTTGATGTATGCTATGCCCATGCTTCAGAGTGCCGCAGAGCTATCTGCCCATACATCAGGTGTCGATGATGATATGATAGAGTACACAAATACATTGAGAAATGGAATTATGGAGGCGTACTCTGGTATCTTGCAAGGATTTAAGGGCTCCCCAAAGACCCAATTGTTGATGCCGTATGCACCTCATGTTCTCCAGTTCTTGGATAGTTTATACATAGAGAAGGACATGTAAGACATTCTGGAACCTTTCGTTTATAATTGTTTTCTTTTGCTTCCGCCTCATATTAGTTTCTGGTATTTATTTCTGGATTTTTTGTTTGCTTTTTCAGGGATGATCTGGTGATAAAGACTGCCATTGGGCTACTTGGAGATCTCGCTGATACGCTGGGTAGTGCTGTCGGTCCGCTAATTCTGCAATCTATGTCAGCCAAAGAGTTCCTAAATGAATGTCTTATGTCAGATGATCCTTCGATAAAGGAATCTGCAGAATGGGTTAAGATCGCTATCAGTCGGGCAACTAACTTTTGAGGCGACTGCTGCTTAGCATATTCTCGTTCGTACATGCATTTGGGTGTCATGAGTCGGGGTCTGGGATTGCATATCATGAGAGTCAGGTCATCACCATTTTTGGGCTGATACGTTTGCGTCAATGGCAGTCAGTATACCAAATCAGCATCGGGGAGTCAGTTTTTTCGTCTTATTTTTTAATTATATTTTGCTTGCATTGCATCGGAGGAAGTTGGCGGTGATGACTTCTGTGTCTCTGCTATCTTGGCAGAAAAAGATGAATAGAAAACAGAAACTGGTCCAATGGTATCGGAGAAATGAGATATAAAAAGTTACCCCATCATGCCCCCACCGCTGCTGTCTTCTGTATGCCGGGAGAATAGCTGTTCCGTCTGAAGTCGATGGTGGTAAAGGTTTTGAGCAGCAGTTCTGTAAAGTGTCTGGATCTTTGGCCTTCTCCGTTCTTCACCGGAATTTGGTGTCTGAAAGTCCTTATTGCATTGTTACATCATACGTCAAGTTGTCATAGAGTTTTGTAGCCCTGTATACTCGCGTGTTATGTAGGATCGGCGAGGTCCGCATAATATTTGGGCAAGATTCATGCATATTTTAGTCATATTTAAGTCATATTGTTGTACTCACAGGAAAATTTCTCAAGTCAAATGTTAAATCTCATGCATTTTGTTCATATGAAAGTTCTTCTGCTGCTGCTTTGTTATGCCTGGGATTGGATTTTGTAAAGCTTTGTGTTTCTATTTTCGTCGGATCCGGGCTGTCTTTTTGCTTTGATCTTGTCAAAGATAGATTCGTTAAATGGTCTTTGAAATTAGACCTTAGACCTTCTTAATATCTTCTGATGCAAGTCTATGGAAGTAATACTGCAGCCCAATTTGATTTTATTTTACGTCTTTTTTATTGGTTAGAAGGGAGGGCTTCGAAAAGGTGGATTGATGTAAAATGCCAAAATTACGAACTCGGATAAAATTACCTCAATTGCCATCAAGTGAGAAACTTGATGAAATAAAAGGTGTGAGGATTAAATATGGGACTTTGTTCAAATTTTGGAAAGTGAAGTTGTTGACCCTAGAAGATGCATGGAGTATTTATCATTAATAGCCAAAATTTAACATCTAATTTCATAAATGTCACTTTTTATAAACACTTTCAAGTATAGCAGAAAACTCACGTGAATAGATCTAAATACCCTCAAAACTCATTTACATAAAGAAGCCAAAACACTTGAATAAATCTCCTTGGCATTGTTGTTCAAAGTGCGAGGCTGCTAGCGAAGTTGGTAATATCAAACTTTTGCAAGTTTATGAAAGATCAATCCTAACCGGCTTAAACTCTAAAGCAAAAAATGGATTCCAAAAATAGCATTTTCAATCCTAACTCCTTGTTGTTCCTCTTTCCTCTAGCCTTCTCAAACTTCCATCCCTTGAACCGCACATAAGGTTTAGTGTGGTTGTGTGGCACACCAGGAGCTGGACTGAAGTGCTTCACTACTTCACAAGAATTCTTAGGACGTCTGAGGAGAACCATGTTCTGACCCAATCGTGCTCTCAAAGCAAGCTGATCAAATGTCAAGCACTCTCCTCTTGGCTTCTCAATCCTAGCCTTCGCAATCTCCTTGCTTCTAGTCTTCCAGACAAGAAAACAGTACAGCTTGACGAGAAGCTTGAGATAGATATCATCGGACTTGAGCACAGTGTGATTCGTCTTCTTGCTCTTACCTCTTGCCACGAATTGATCCCTATTGTTGCCATTGTTGTTGAAGCTTGGGTGCTCGGGATGCTGCTTCGAAAGAGTGATTGCCCCACGGACTTGTACCCATGAGAAAGGCTTTTAATGGTACTTTCATTGCTGGCAGTAATTTGTTGCCAGTGGTTACGACAAGGAAGATGGGAACAATCTGAGGGTTGTGTAGATCTTATGCTCATGGTTGTTGGTTCTTGGCTAACTTTGACTTTTTTCTCATTGAATTTAGTTTATGTTTTTTTAAAATTAATTTGGAGGGTATTTAAGTCTATTTAAGTGGATTTTCTGTTATTTTTGAAAGATTTTATAAAAAGTGACATTTATGAAATTGAGTGTTAAATTTTGATTATTATCAATAAAAACTTAGATGCAAAGGTGGCGCTCAGACTGAGCAACTAGTGAGCAAATTACATACTTTTAGTGAGCTAATTAAATTAAACAATGTAGTGGTGTAATGTCGAATGCGTTGCTGACTTCTGCACTAAGCAATTATGGCTGATGAAGGAACCCTTTCGACTCAGGGTTTTAGAACTTGAAGACAAGGTTATTCAGTTAACTATGGCACCAAGTTCGGCAGCTTCACCTATATTTGTGAAATATAGGTGTGCCGAATCGGTATCAAGCTATAAGAGCAAAAATACTAAAAGGAAGTGAGTGTCTTTATCTTGAATGTCGTTTGACCATTTGTATGTCGAACTCTGAAGTGCACTTGGGAGTAACCAATCATTGAACATATCACTTCCTTGGAAAGCTGATGAAGTGACCTATTTGGGTGAAAGAATTGTAAACTTTTTGTTAGTTGTGACTTGGATAGATAAGCAAACAAAACATAAGCAGTATTGTTAATCCAAACTAAAGTTGCTCCTCGATCGCTTAATTCTACGGCTCCAATGGTGATAATCCACACTAAACATGTTGTTGGTTGAGCACAGTACTGCTAATCCAAACTGAAAGTATGTTGATGAGAGGCTTACGATAATTAATATTTTTCTCACGGTGAAAAGATTTCGCGTAGAGTATTTAAGTTATTATTTGAGTTGAAGGGCCTCTATATGTTGCAAATCACTTATTTATAAGGCTGAATATGCTTTGGATGATAAGCTTGAGAAGCAATGTCGATTGCACCATGCCTCTTGGAACTTTATCTCATTATCTCCTTCCTAATTAACCGAGCATCCATGCATAAAGAATCTGGTTGCATAAAAGACCAAATTCATTTTTTTTTAATTTTTTAAGGGAACAACTAGTGGCAAGCCATGGTTATCCACTACTTTCAAGAGTCGGGAAGACTCACAAAGACATTTCAACCTCCCCTGGCCACAAGTCTGGCTTCCACACCAGCAATGAGTTTCGAACCTGAGACCTTAAGTTTTTAATTTTAAAAAAGTCTCGTAATCCGTTATTTATCACTGAACCACCAGCTCGTGGTTAGACCAAATTCATTTGGCTTATGGGATAAAAGCACATGCTAAAAAGCTCACTCACAGAATTATACCATTTGATGCTTCCAGATTTATTTAAGGAAAACTAATAAAAATAGTTTGAAAACTTTGAGTTTTAATGATAAAGACAAAATAAAGGGTAAAGTGAATAGTAACATGTTTGACTTTATAATGTAAAAATGTGATTTTTCATTAAAGTGAAAAGTACCGTGAGTTTTTCGTTAAAACTTCTATTTATTTATCCAAGTATCTTGCATAGGAAAATGTCAAGATAATTCCAGTATACCATTAATTGATAATTACAACGATTAAATCATTATAATATTATATTATCTGTCAAAAAAAAATTGGAAGTTATCTTAACAAGCTGACGATGCAGAGTCGGGTCCAAACATCACACTACTGGGCCAAAACTACCGAAACTCAATTCGGCCGAAAATTTAAATTTAGGTACAGTAAAAGTATAATTCCAAGTGACTTGGTGAATTTACAATGCCCGAATATGCCAAACTGCCAATTACTTGTTTGCTCAACTTTTGAAGAGCAACTTACATGAAATAGATTTACTGTCACGATGTTTTGGTTCAATAATGTAATATCTTTTAGAAAGAATCTACACATAACATTATATATAGGGGTCAGAATGCCACGTTGATAGTAAATCAGTCTTACATAAGCCCTCCACGTTGATACCCAAACAGTAAATTGTCTGTATTTATCGTTTATTCATATTATAACATGTGAGTTTGTGACACTGCATTTGTTGTTAGTTATCAAAAAACCAAATTACAACATCAACCAATGCTTAAAATATCTACAAAATTGTCGATAGTTTCGTCAAAATAGCGAGGTATAGGAAAACGTTGAATATCGACGATATTCACCGATTAACTACCTAAAATTTGCTGAAACTCATTGTAGATTTCAAACTTTTGAAAAATTTTAAAGAAAATTTTCTTTAGTTTCGACCTAAATATGAATGAGTTGGTATACTCATACCATTATAAACTTCCATAATTTTTATCAAAGACAACTGATATCAATATATTCATCAACATTTTCATATATTTACATATGGATACTTCCAGTTAGATCGGTGCTTGGATATTATACGCATGTCGGCATAGGCGATAAGAAACAAATGGGCTTGGATAGTATAGGCATGTCGGCATAGGCGATAAGAAACAAATGGGCCTAATAACAAAAGCCCATATTCCCCGAAAATGCTATAATTTGGTAGTATCTCTCTCTCTCTCTCTCCCTCTCCCCTCTCGAGCCCTGGCTGTGGGACGTGCGAGTGTGTACCTACACCCGCGTACGCGTTCGCACCGCAAACGCAATTTCCGTCACCGTCTCTCCTTCGCTCATTCATTTCTCCCAAAAAAACCACCACACACCACCATTTTTCGATTCCCGAAGGCCTGAGCCTCCATCAATGGCGATCGCATCTCCATCCCCTCCGACCTTCTCCGCCTCCTTCTGCCGCACCCGTACCGAGCCTCCCTCCACCTTCACTCGCATCCCTTCCATTTTCTCCCGCGCTCACCGACCCAAGCCTCACCCCCTGACTCGCCGGCTTGCCCTTTCCGCTCGGCTCAACTCGTCCATATCTTCCGCTGCCGGCGGCTCGGTCTCGCCGGACAACGGCGACCTCCAGTACGAGCTCTTCCACGGCTTCTCGCAGCAGCGTCGCCGGAGAGGATCGCCGGTGTTCGTCACGCTGCCTGTGGATTCCGTGGGGTCACGGGGCGCAGTCCGGAGGCCCAAGGCCATGGTTCAGTCGTTGAAGGCCCTCGCCGCGGCCGGAGTGGAAGGCGTGGTCATGGAGGTGTGGTGGGGCCTGGTGGAGAGGGATCAGCCTATGCTTTACAATTGGGAAGGCTACTTGGAGATCGTATCTCTGGCTCGACGCTGCGGGTTGAAGGTTCGGGCCGTCTTGGCGTTTCATCAGTGCGGCACTGGGCCGGAGGACTCTCATTGGTTAGTTTTGTATTTTTTTTTCTCAGGTTTCAATTAATTTAATTTAATCGTGTTATTTATATGACTAATTGGTCTTTATTTACTGCGTTTTCTTTATTTGTATTGGATATGTATTTTTTTAATGGGATTAATTTGCTTGCTGTTTGGAATCTTAAATACAACAATTAAACAGTATAATTATGTATTGTATGGTTTGTTTTGGCCAATTGTGTTTTTTGAGGATTGGGTATACTGCAAATTTTGAACTTGAAATATGAAATGAATGGTTTGTCACCCTATAAGGATTCATTGGTTCCAGGAAAATCTGCAGTGATTTTCTTTTAATCCTTATAGATTTTGTCTCCGCGATAATAAATGATCTAAAGCGGATTCATTGGTTGTAATTGTTTGAAGATTTGAGATAATAAATGATCTAAGGCGGATTCATTGGTTGTAATCGTTTGAAGATTGAGATTTACCAATTAAAGTCTAAAGTCCATAGTATTGTAAACAATTCGCAGGTGATATTCGTTCTAGTCTTTAGATATTCGGAGATATCTTGAGTGTCCTCGTATTTGGATCAAATGAATTATTACTTACATGGGCACAGATTGCTTGATCTTCGTGGAACTTTGAGATATAGCTCGAGACTTAAAGGTAGCAATTAAGACCAGTTGGCTGATGTACCTTCTCTGGCATTTTGTTGTGCTGTTTCACCGAACTTTATTTGCTTCTTACATATCATTTACAACTTATGAGGTGAGTGATTTTTTAGAGATTGAGTTGTGCCACTGCCATTAGCCGCTTTTTTCATGAATGTTCTGTTGGCTAGTTTATAACCTACTTGCATGCTGAATCTTGTCCTTTTGTGCACTGAAGGATTCCTCTTCCTCTGTGGGTACTGGAGGAGATTGATAGGGATCCAGATTTAGTATATTCGGACAGATTTGGAAGAAGAAATGTGGAATACCTTTCTCTTGGGTGTGATATGCTTCCTGTTCTGCGGGGACGTTCACCAGTCCAAGCATATGCAGATTTTATGAGGAACTTCAGAGACACTTTTAGACCTTTTTTCGGTCTTGTCATAACAGTAAGATAATACGAAGTGAATGGTTGAGCACATCAAGGCTGTAGTCATATTTGTATAATCCTCAAAAATTAAATTAAGCGATCTCCTCTTGCAGGGAATTCAAGTTGGGATGGGTCCTGCTGGTGAATTAAGATACCCTTCCTGCCCTACCCAGAAGTTAACATGGGCTTGGCGATCTCGTGAGCTTGGAGAGTTTCAGTGTTATGACAAGGTAGGAGGGAATGCTAAACTTCATTTACTAGCTAATACTTGGATTTCTGTCTATGCCTGAATGAGGATGCACTAGTGACCGTCGTTGCTGCTCATTTGACCTGATAATCGTATTATTTTCCCCTGTATTGATTCAGTTTTCTCTTTAATTTTCTGGCCAGTATATGCTTGCATCTCTCAATGCATGTGCAAGAGAGATTGGGATTCCCGAATGGGGAAATGGGGGCCCTATTGGTGCTGCCAATTTGATGCAGGATCCTGAACTGACAGAGTTCTTCAGAAGTGATGATGGATCGTGGAATACATCATATGGTACATTTTTTCTTGAATGGTACTCGGGAATGCTGCTTCTGCATGGAGAAAGGATATGCAGGGAAGCCGAGACCATTTTCCGGGGTACAGAGGCTAGTACATCAGTAAAATTAGCTGGGATGCACTGGCATTATCGCACTAAATCTCACCCATCAGAGTTAACAGCTGGCTATTTCAATACTTCAACAAGAGACGGATACTTACCAATTGTTCGCATGTTGGCAAAGTACGGCTTTACTTTGTGCTGCTCATGTTTTGAATTGCAAGATGTGGAAGAGAGGAAGATGAACGCAGTCAGCAGCCCGGAAAGCCTTCTCAGACAGCTGCTCTCAGCTGCTAGGGTATGTGATATACCCTTGGAAGGTGAAACTTCTGCAGCCAGATTGGACAGCCAATCGCTTCAACAGGTGGTAAGGATGTCAAAGTATTACTCATCTGGTCTAGAAAAACCCTCTTTTTCGTTCAACTTTGTGAGGATGGACAAGAACATGTTCGAATTTCATAACTGGGTCCATTTTACTCGTTTTGTGAGGCAAATGTCTGATGCCAACGCCTTTCGAGCCAAGCTGGAAGTTGATGCAATGCCTGATACACGTCGGTCTCCCACTTCCCTTTCAGATGTTGCGAAATTTGGAATGGCTTCTGCATATTGTTAGGGACCGATTGTCGACCACTTACATCATTCATAACAAATGTTATATTCTTACACCCCCTGTTCCGCGTTTGATGTGAATACGTAGTAATGCGTCAGTTTCCCGTCGGTAATTCTGTTAATTACAGTTCTTCTGCAGAGAGTTGATACATTGTGTTGTAAATTTGTAATAGCATCATTGCCTTCCTCATATTTTAAGAATGGTTGGCCTATCGTTAGCTCAACTGTAATTCAAACAATAAAAATCTTTTTTCTACTTAAAGCTGATATTTATCGTGAAATTTCAGAGTTTAAGGTGTTAATTTTTGTTGGGGCCAAAATGCTCGAACCTGCGTGGCCTCCGATTGAAATGTAAATTGTACAAGAAGTATACGAGGAAAGAAAAATGAAAACTATTTTTCCCCGCTCTCACCACCTTTCGATATCTCGTATGTTCTTCATATACTTTTCTCAATAAAAACTAAATACTAAAAACGAAATAGCTATCGATGATATCATTTGTATTGCAAAGTGTTTCCGTTTCCCCCATGAGCTCTAAAGGCAAATGCTTATAGCTTTTTTATTCACTCTTTTTAAGAACGTTTTATTCACATGTTATGACTTATTTTCAAAAAATTAGTGATGCACACATCATGCTTTAACCAATGGTTCAAAGGGTACAAAAAATTGGTGTAAATATAAAAAGAGTTAGAGAGGAGAATAACTAAACTTTAGAGCTAACTTCATTTTACCCCCTTTAAGTTTTGAGGTGATTTTTATAATGGGTCATGCAGTTCTAATTTTTTCATATTGCAGTCTGATGTTTTGAAATTGTATCAATTTATACGTTTTGTCTCCTTGAACATCTAATCCTCTATTAAATTGAAAAGTTATTTTGTCAATTTGGTGCAAATATGACCTACAAGTTAACACGAATAAGGATATGGTACTCACCATGTCATCAATTATACGATGGATCCAACAACCACTCCGACCACATGTATAAACTGATACAATTCAATACCTTACAATGCAAATGAGAAAACTAAAACTTTATGACCTATTTTGTAAATACTCCAAACTTCAAAAGGTATAAAAGTTTAGTAAACGCTAAATTTTAAATTCTAGACCTCAACGTATATGAAATTGTTTCATTTATTTGTCATAATATCTTATTTTGTGATATTCTGTGCCACAACGGTAGACAATAATAATAAAAAAAACAATGCTAAGATCAATGAATCTTGTCTTTTATATGTAAATTACTCATAGAGCAAGAACAATCAAATCATCGTAAGTACCGCCTGCAAGTGCATGTGCACGATTGACCTAACACTCCTCAAATATGCATCACAAATAGATTTGGTGCACATATTAATTGTATGGTGGTTATCAACTCTTGCATTTCAACATGAATACATGTTGATGTAGCTGGCATATTCCACAGCACAAGAGGGATGATTTACATTCTTCAGGCCCACTGCCCCCCATCATGAAATATGTTTAGGACAAGTGTTGGTCATCTGAATCTGATGGAAAAAAGCAGGAGAAGGACTCATGAATCTCTTCTCTTTGTCGCCCTTTATTTATCTCAGACAGCAGAAGCATGCATATTGATATAGCACTCTCGTCACCCACCTTTGTAGCGACGTGACTTCATCCAAATTGATTGAATCAACAAAGTCAGCTATGAAAAAAGTTGGCTCTTCTGTTTGGTATTCATCATCAAACATCGAGAATTTGATTCACATATTGTGCTGCCGACAGAGAACAGTGTGGTGATTGGTGCTAGTTTCGGGGGGAAAGAGAGGAGGAATTTTTATAGATAAAGGAAACACAAATTATGTGGTGTGTTTCACGTATTATAATCAAGATGAATACATGTTTAATGAAAAGAAAATTTACATGTTATAATTTGACTATAATGATAATTAATATCATGTGACGTCTTTTTAAAAAGGGTGATCCCAAGCCAACAATTTCCCCGCTTTGTGAGGATCGGGAGGGGGTTCGTGGAAATGGTCTTACCCTTACTTTGCAAAGAGACTGTTTTTATGACTCGAACCTGTGACATTTTGGTCACAAAAAAAAAATTAAAAAATTTCTATTGCGCCAAGGCTCAAACCTGTGACTGACATGCCCCGGGGACGAAATTGTAAAAATTACATAA